AACAAAAACAAAAACCAAGTTGTAATGTACGTGGAAAATTGTGCACAGCAGATTTTTTTTTAATATAAAAAGTAGATTCAGGAGCACATCCAATTATAAATAAATGATTGTTAGGAAAATCACATAAAACAATGGAATACATAAAAGTGTCAAGAGCAATCGTCAGGGTGCGAAATTCCTTGGTGGCTAGATGCCCATGGCAAGCAGAAATTATCCTGGCAGCATCGCTAAGAGATCAATGTCCATAGAAGATTCTCCAGGGGTACAAGCAGCATGGGCAGGTGGAGGATTTGAATTTCATATCCTGATTCATAGTTTTCACAATTCCATGTGCAATTTCAGACTCTAAAAGGAGTGTGGGGGTCACAGGCTGCCACCTTGCCGTGCATGCAATAGTCCCAGCAGCCCCCAGCACTCGGATTCTCCCAGGTTCAAACACCAACAGGGAAGTTAGAGGCAAACCTGTTAGGTTAGGAAAGCACGCATAAATCTCTGGGCTTCGAAAGATGGAAATGACACTATAAAAGCCACGATTTCTCACACATGGAAAACCGCAGGCCCAAACAGACTTCAAGGCAGTAGAGGCCCCACCTGAAAAACATTCCCCATTAGCAAATAACACCCTGACAACCTCAACCTGGACGCCACTTGCAGTTTGAAGATGCCATGGGGTGTGATGCTGCCAGGGTGAACAGTGTGGTGGGCCACGTGCAGCTGCTTCAAAACTCATGAAACCCTACAGAGCTTGGCAGTGGGGCAGGGTGGTGGGCATCAATGGTTCATAGCAGGAGTGGGAGGAAGTGCAGAGGCTGGCACTCCCGGGAGGGAAAGGATTAGGGTCAAGGCTATGCAGCTGATGACAGGACCAGAGGCTGCCTGAGCTGGGAGGATCTCCCAGGACCAAGCACCTCTTAACTGCTGGCACCATGCTTGTGGAGGCTGTTAGACTCCAGGCAATGTGTGTTATGGCTTGGAAGAAAGACTGCATTTTGTTGCTGTCCCGAGACTTTGCCTGAGACTGAGACTAAGCACAGCATACTAATTAACGTGGCAGAAGACATTTCAAAGCAGTCTAATGCTGAGGTGGTGGCATGGCTACTGTTGGGGGCAGTTAGCCAGATTAATGTTATCAATCATGAACAAAAAGCCCAGCAGAATGATTTAAAATGTGAATCTGGTCAGAAAGGAAGGTCCAGTAAAGCTGTGGACTGTGAAGATACAGCAAAGGGGGTCTCGATGGCTGAGAAGAAACAGGAGAACAGAAAAGGTATAGGGGCATTACAAGCAGCAAGTCTCTAACTTGTTGCAGCCTCAAAATTACAAAAGTAAAAGACTTTGAGAAGAAAGCCACTGAGTACCATGTTCCAGGGGCATTGGCTTCACCATGTTCCAGAGTGATTGCAGCATAAAGAAGTTGTTCCTCAGAACTGGATTCAGAGTGCCCAGCAATCCAGGCACTCGACCCCTACAGCCAAGAAAGAAGGAAGCCTGGCTACTGCTCGAGCTGGCAGCAGATTTTCAAATCATGCACATGACACTAGTTTTAGGTACATGAAGAATGGAAGAGTTGTGGGGTCAGGAGGGCTTACATACAGATTTCAGAAGGTCTGGGAGGCCAGGCAATGTGTGCCCAAGAGGGCAATGTGTGAAGCTCTGAGTGTGAAGTCAAAGGTGCAATGAAGATCCTAGAAATTTGGAGAAGCCAGGAAGATGGATCCTCTAAGAACTGCAAAGAGGGAGCAGAGTAGAACCAAGAGAGAAGCCATGGGAGCTACAACCACCAGAAGTGCCTTTAGGGCAGAGTCATCCAAGCCCTTTGGAGTTTAAATCTTGCCACAGATTGCTTCAGGAACTACAGGAACTACATGGAACTACAGGACTTAATGTTTGACTTTCTGGACTTTTGGGCTTGGTTTGGTCCCATTTCTTTGTATCCCCTTTTGTAACTTTTAGAATGGAAATGTCTATCTTATGCCACTGAATTTTGGAAGTGTTTAACTTTCTTTTCATTTATACAGGGCTCACAGCTAAGAGTTTGCCTTAAATCTCAGAGGAGACTTGGGGCTTGGACTCTCAGCAATGCTGAAACAATAGGATTTTGGTAACTCTTTGAGATGGACTAAATGCCTTTTTTTTTTTCTAAATACCTTTTGCATAAAAGAATATACATGAGACTCTGGGCAGGGGGCAGGGGCAGAATGTTACAGCTTTTGTCTAGATGTCTACTCATGTGGGCTCATGTCTACTCATTTAGGTCTCATGTGGGTGTCAGGGGGTGAACTTTTTATGAGGTGACTGAATCTAGAGCTTGTGACTGATATGTAGTGCAATGCTGGGATTAAGTTTTACGGGATTAAGAGTGGATGATTACTGGATCAAGAGTGGGTGATTACTGATCAGTCCACTGACTGGATTGGCATCACCCTAATCCCAGCAGTCTGGATAAAATAAAAGAGGTAAAAAGAGTTTTTTTTCCCCCTTTACTGCTCTTGTTGCTTTTGCTGTCTTCTGCCACCATGAATTACTGACCCTCTGCCATATGCCACCCTGACTTGGAGCCACTGAGCCACTCTACAAACTGAGAGCTAAACAAACCTTTCCTCCTTAAAGTAAAAAAAAAAAAAAAAAAAAAGTGAATAAAAAATTGAAGGGAGGTTCTTTCTCAAAGTAGACTTCCAACTAATAAACATAGGAATGACAGAAATAGAAAAACCACTTGGCAAATACCACAATGATAATTATTTTAGGTCTAAAAATCTGCCAGAAGTAGAGAGGAATAAACACATTTCTATAATCAGGTACCTCCTGACACTCTGGGCTCCATTAGAGCAGCATAAGTGCTATCCTCTGCCAGCGCAGGTTCAGTGAAAAGAACCTCAAGGAAAGATGCAGCAATAATAATGGAAAAGGTGGCTCCTCAGCCTGATACATCAGAAGCATCGAGCTTCTAAAAGGGGAAAATGTCAGAAGAGGGGCTAAGGATGTAGCTCAGTAGCAGAGCACTTGCCTAGCAGGTCTGAGGTCCTGAGTTTAATCCCAGCACTGAAAAACAAACAGAAAATGCTTCAGGGTAGTTAATTAAACCATGGAGTGACTGGATAACCTGTAGTTTCCCACAAGAATGGATTTTTTTTTGAGACAAGGTCTCACAATGTAGTTCAGGTTAGCCTTGAATTCACCATTTAGTCTAGGCTGGCCTGAAACTCATAGTGATCCTCCTGCCTCAGCCTCCTGAGTGCTAGGATTACAGGCATGTGCCACCATACCCAGCAGAAATGGAAATTTCTTCAATGTGAATTTCTCAGGGTCAGAAAGAATTATAATACACAGCTCCAGTGTCTCAAGTCAAGAGGTAAAAATGTTTCCAGATTCTGATAAATTGCAAGTTTAGGAGCAGCTTTGCCTTGTCTTTATAGAGGGAGTGGCCCTACATGGGATTCTGGGATGCAGATGGAAGAACACGGACCTCCTGCCTTCCCAGAACCAGCCCCAGGTCAGTGCCATCCCCATCCCTTAGAGGAACTGCTCCTTCCAACCTCCATCCTCCTCCTGGAGGCCCCTCAGGCACCTAGGCAGGAAGTCTCAAGACAACCGCTTCCTGCTGTTCTGCCAGGAGCTCCCACCCTTCTCCCCCACTAGCAGCAGCAATCAGATCTACTCTAAATCTGATTCAGCTCTGAAACAAAGACACCTGTAAACTGGATCCCATACTCTGTCTGAAAAGCAAAATAGTGCACTTTAGTAACTCATGATTTCTTTCTTTCCCTGAGCAATGTAATGAGCAAAACATGAAATTAAGTGAAAAAAAAAATATCAAGAACTACATATGTGGGGCTGGAGGTTTAGCTCAGCGCCATAAGTGCCTGCCTTGCAAGCAGGCAGTCATGAGTTCGATCCCCGGTACCGATAAAAAGGAAAATGACAAAACAAACAAACAAACACAAAACAACAACAACAAAAAACTACATATGTTCCAGGTATAAAGCACACCTGTAATCCCAGCACTCAGGAGGTGAGGGCAGGAGGGTGGCTTTGAGTTCAAGGCCAGCCTGGGCTATATAACAAGACTCTGCCTCAAAAAACCAAAAGTTTAAATAAGAAAGAAGCTAAAATTAATGACAGAAAGGATGGCTACAAGCAGAATATTTACAGTCTCACAGTATCTTCCCAAAAACTATTTATTCCTTACAGCGGGGAAACTAGACATTTTATGATAGTTGGCAGATTGTCACCTAAGCCATCAAGTTATTGTCACCAGCAGTAGACAAATTGGCATCGTGTATCTTTTAGGAAGCACGAAAGACACTATTTCCTTTTGGAAGTTGTGTTGTCAAAAATGCGTAACTTGAAATTAGTCATGGGAAACCACCAGGCAAATTCCAACTACGTCATAAAAGTCAAAGAGGAAATGAGTTGCTAGTCTAGGCTGAGAATAACACATAAAAGCCAGGAGTGGTGGTGCATGCCTGTAACTCCAGCTACTCGGGTGGCTGAGGCAGGAGGATCACAACTTCGAGACTAGTCAGCCTTGGCAACCTGCCTCAACACAAAGTGAAAAGGGCAGGGGCCATAGCTGAGTGGTGGAGCAGTTGCCTAGCGAGGCCCTCGGTGCAATCTCGGGGCTGGGGTGGGGTAGGATATGCGCAACACACTACATTTCAGTAAATCCTGCACAGTGGATCACGGTATTCTGGTGCGGGTTTCCTCGTTTGGATAAATTGCAGCTATGTAAGGAGCTAACACTTTGGGGGCAAGAGAAAAGGCACCCGGAACTTCGCAGCTCGCCGTGGGCCGGCAAACATCAGCAGCATGCTTTGAGCCGCTCCGCGCCACTCACCGCTCCCACGTCCGGGGCAGCCCCGCGCAGGTCGGCACGGCCCAAGTCCCCGACAGCGACAGGTGTCTGACAGGGCCCAGCGACCCGGGGAACTCGAAGGTCCCGTCGCGCGCCCGCGCCTCCCTGGATTTCCAGCCTAGCTGCTTCCGGGGGGCCTCGTTACCATAGCGATGCGGGTCCGTCAGCACTGGTCCGGTTGTGCTCTGCCCGAAGCTCAGGTCCCGCCGGCCGGAAACTGGAGCCCCGACGCCAGGTTCCGACCTCTGCTCACCACACTTCTTGCTCGCCGCCAAGGCAAAAGGGACACGGAGAAAGGGCCTAGCCGGGCACGTGACCTCCATGATCCGAGGGCGCCTCCGCACCCCCCCCCCACCGCGTCTTCACCTGTTTGGGGCAACCGAAGGCAGAGCTCTGCCACGCGAGACGCCCCTCGCTGCTCCCCAGGGCGTCGCTCTCAAGCGCTGATCTGAGCCCGGTGACCCAGAGCTCAGGAGTGGAGCGCCTGGCATCCTGGTTGTATTTGGGAAGTGGGTGCCCCGGCTGCATATGGGGGTCAAGGGGAGCCTCAGACTGCAGAAGCCTGCATAGCTGGGACGGGTTAGAGGGTGGTGCTGCATGGAGGCCCTCAGGAGGTGAGGGTGGGAGAAGCTATGGCAGGAAACCCTTCCCCGGATCCAGCCCGGTGCTTCTAGGTGTGTGTCACCCAGGGCCTCGGAGTGCTTGGGGCTTGGCCTGCAGGCTGAGAGTACCAGAGGAAGGGGCGGGTGCTTAGGGTTCTGGAGAAAGGGGCCTGGAGAAAGTGCCCAGACAGCCCCGCCAACACCACCACCAATGGTGGGCTCCTTCCTCCCAGGTCACCTGCCTTCGAAGGTCGTCTGTTCCTCTTAACCTGGCCACAGCTGGGTAGAGGCCAGTGTCGGCCTACATGTCTCAACCTCCTGTGTGGGAACCTGGGAATCCCTCCAAAGGGCAGTCTCAGGGCTTCATTCCCCTCCCCCCCCAATTTGTACTTACATCCCATGGTCCCACCAGTCCCATGTTAGCCTCTCCTCCTCACTGTCTGTCTTGGCTCCCTGCTGCTGTTTGCCTGGACCCAGCCTTCCTTGTTTGGCTAGCCTCTGCCTTCTCTGTGTCAACCTCTCCTGTAGTTCTTGTAGATGAGCAGGCAGAGCCCCCAGGAAGTCAGCTCCTCCAACCTTATCTCCAGTGCAAGGCCCTGCAGGTATTGAACAGCCCAGGACGCAGCACCGGGGCCAGATGTGCCCACCAAGATGCCCACAGCCCCACCTCAGCTTCTGTCCCAGTCACACCTGTCCCTGTCACACCTGTGAGTGTGGCAGGGGGAGTCTGTCCCTTCAACAGCCACAAAAATGGTGAGGGGCTGTTGAGGAGGGGCAGCCTGGGCTTGGTGCTGACAGCAGGAGCACCAGCTAGACCACCTTGGGGGAGCTGGGGCTTGCTGGGTCTGTATCTTGGATCCCTGGGCCTCAGTTCCCTCATCTGTAGAGTGGGAATTATAAGAACCCATGCAGTAAGGACTGAATTGTGTTCTCCCACTATTCATGTATGGAAGCCCTAGCTACCAGTGGAAGCATATTTGGAGCTGAGCCTTGAAGGGAGCAATTACAGTTAAACGAGGTCATAAGTGTGAGGCCCCATCTGTCTAGGACCAGTGTCCTCGTGACACCAGGCACACACATAGAAAAGCCATGTGAAGATACGAGAAGGGGCTGCCTGCAAGCTGAAGAGTGAGGCCCCGGAGCAGTCAGCCGCGCAGGTCCTGGTCTTGTATGTCCCGCCTCAGACCAGAGAAGAGAAGTGTGGGTTGAGCCCCAGTTAGCGGCATTTGGTTATGGTATGCTTGGAACTGGGGGCCAGGAGACGTCACATCATAGTGGCCATGGTCATTCTTGCAGCCAACGCATGTGCCCTGGTGCCCTGGGGACAGAAACACAGAGGTACTGGCTGGGTCCAGAAGCTGTAGTGCCCTATAGCCTGAGTTCTAATCAAAGTGTCCTCTGCTGGGGTTGGCCTGGCCCAGAGTAAGACCACACCTCCCTGAGCGCCTCCCATTAGGCACTCCTGGAAACTTAAGATCCCCTCCAACACCAACTGAACAATGCTGTCCAGAGGTGCCACATCCCTGCCCTGTGACACCAGTTTGGGCAGCAACTGACCCTATTACCTTGACATCCAGCCTAAGGGGGCCACTCTGAGCCTGCCACACCTCCATACCTCCGTCCTTCGCCTAGCACTAACTGGGCACTGCTCTGCATACCACTGGCCAGGAGCGGGCCATGGAAGGCCAGCACCAGGAGGGCTCATAGATGGAAGACTACTTGGGTTAGGCCCCTAAGCTGCCGTGAAAGAATTACTCGAGCTACGCTTGAACAACAGGAATTTGCTCTTCTGCTGTTTTGCAGGTATCAAGGTGCTGGCCAGGGAGGACCCTCCTCACCTCCCCAAGCCTCTGCTCCTCTCTTTTGAGGCCAGCACATGGCTTCTTCACATTTATTCTCAGGATGCCAGTCACATTGGGCCCACCTTGTGCCCATGTGACCTCATCTAAACTAATTTTATCTGCAGTAGCCAACTAATTATATCAGGCTGTTCTGAAGCACAGGGGTCCAAGACATGAGTCAGTGCTTTGGAGGTCCTGTGTGCAACCCACCACCAGCTGTTTCCCCTGGGCCTGTGCTGGGCTCCCAGGGTCCCCCTTATCAGAGGCAGAACAGCACAGGCTGAGGGACCCCGACGATGGGGTGCCTAAGCATAGCTGGCCAGAAGAAGAGGAGTGTCCTGGATGGGGTGGGCAGTTCTGGCACCAGTGTCCTGTCTGGCCCAGAGAACATGGCAGCACATATTTGAGAGGCAGATACCTCAGTTCCAGCGTAGAATAAACAAGGAAGGGCGAGAAAAAGGCTGAAGTGTGAGGTTTGGGCTGTGGCTGTACTGACCCGGTGGCCCCTTGCTCACCACTGGGCAGGCAGCCTGGCCCGGCAGTTGTGTAATCCCTCCAACTCCGAGTGCACCTTGGGGTGTGGGCAGTCCCAGGAGCTTCCCAGCAGGTCTGGTGACAGCTACCTATGACTCAAGGTCCCTCCTCTGATACTTGAGCCATAGGGCTGACCTTACTTTGGGAGTCCCCCAAATGTTAGGTATCCAGGTCTCACCTGGGGTTCCAACAGCACAGGACTCCTATCAGAGGTAGGGGCAGGGCCACCTGGCTACGTACCTGCCTGGGCCTGAGCCAGTCTCTTCCCCTGGAAGGTGAGGATTGCCAAGGTTAGGCCTCCTGGGGTCACTTCTTCATGTGCCCCCTTACAGCCTTGGGGTGGAAGGTGAACTGAGCAGTAAAAGACCTTCTGTAAGGCTGGTGCCACCTGCTTCCCGAGGCTCATCTGAGGCCCCTCTGGAAGGAAGGTATGGTGGGCACAGGCACTTGGGCAAATTCCCTTGCTGGGTCCGGGCAAAGGTGGGTCCAGAGGCAGGGCCTACGATGCCAGCCTAGACTATTCCAGGAGATAACCTTGTCACTTATACTTTATAAATAGAGACAGAGGTGCAGGAGGCCGGGTGGGGCTCAGGGAGAAGTCCCTCACCCACTCCTGATGGATGGCCAGCTGAGTGGTCCTATGAACAGGCCACCAGGACAGGTCGGTTTGGATAGGGGTTGAGGGGACAAAGCATGTGATGCTAGTGGAAAGGACAGCAGCCGGGAAGGACAGGTGGGACTGGTCTTGTCCAGAGGAAGCCAGCAAGCCCAACAGCAGCTATGGCCTTGGCCGCTTCCTGGGAGGTCAGGACGAGAGGCAGAGCAGAGTGTGGACACGGTGGGAACCAGTGCTCCCTGTGAATCTGCTCCCTGCAGACTGGGCTCCTCCAGAGCACCGGCCCTGGCATTCACCTCCCTCCACTGTCCTGTCTACTGCACTAGTGGCAGCCTGGAAGCAGCAGGTTATTTGAGGGGACCACAGGAGAGAGGTAGCATTCTCCCACTGTTTTTAAAATTTTTTTAATAAAAAAACCCCAAAATTTCATAGCCATATAATTACAGAATAACAATAGCTATTGTCTTGTGTATCATTATCTTCAAAGTAGTTTCTCAGAGTATGACAAAAAAATATTCTTACAAAAAAAAGAAACAGGTAGGGGCTGGGGATTTAGCTCAGCGGCATAAGCGCTTGCCTTGCAAGCAGGCAGTCGTGAGTTCGATCCCCGGTACCAATAAAAAGGAAAAAGACCAAACAAAACAAAACAAAACAACAACAACAACAAAAAAAAACCAGGTAATAACACAAAATTTTCTTTTCAAAAACCTAGGACAAACCAGCAGTATAAATGAAACCTATTAGCAAATACATTGAAAGATTTTCAAAACAATGGACTTGGTTTAGGGAGGGTATTCACACAGGTAGCCAAGGCCTCCAGAGACCATGAGATCCACTGCTCTCAGAGTAAAAAATGAGGAAATTGAGGTAGGTGGAACTAAGGGGCCCCTGTGGCCACTTGCTGAGCTGGGGCTGGGCCTGTTGCTGCTGCTACTGCTGCTGCGTCACAAGCCCTCACCCCTGTCCCCTGCAGGTTCCTCTGCGCTGTCAGTGCTGAGTCACAGAGAGGGGGCTGTGGTCCTAGCCAGCAGGAAGGTTGGGCAAAGCTCTTTCCCCGTCCGTCAAGGCTGAGACCTGGCAAGCAACCCAGCTCACTCTCACCCGACACACCACAGCCTTGCTGCTATACTGGACCCCAAATCCGGCCTGGGGAAGGCCCAGGCCACCCTAGGAGAAGTGTCCTTGCCAGGGGCAGGAGGGTTGTGACCTTTGCCTCCCTGGTTTGGGTACTCAAGGCCAAGGTCACAGGAATTGCCACATGGGGTAACGGTGCAGGTGCACCAGAGACCGACAGCTAAGGTGTATGGGGCTGTGGCCACAGCAGCAAGGGACTCAGGAGCAGTATCGGCTCTGGGACCACAGGTCAGCAGGGTGTGGTGGGAATGCATGGCAGTCTGGGACAGGCAGGCTCAGGGACACCCATCAAGCAGGGGATGCCAGAACGATGTCCCAGGCCACAGACGAGGCCTGGCCAGGACTGACCACTGCGGAGGCACTAGTCACTCTGGGTACCTAGCCTCCACCTGGGGAACTGGCTACAGCAGAGGTCAAGGGAGGGACAAGGGCCAGCTGGGCTAGGAGCTAGGGCCGCTTTCTGCAGGTCTGTTACCTGCATCTGTGTGGTCCTGGCACTGGGTCGGGCAGGATGCCAGGGCACAGAGGGCCTCTGCTGGGCACAGGAAGCCATGGGGCCAGCTGCCAGCCTGCACAGAGGCTGAGAGAAGACAGAACTCCAAAGGCTGTCAGAGATGGGGAGCTGCTACCCTCAGATCTGAGGCACAGCAGGACTGAATGGACACCAGTGCACCTGACTACAGGGGCATTTCAGGAATGCCCTATGAAAGGAAGTGAGGCTTCCTGTCTCCTCCCCCCAGCACGGCCTCAGGGAAACCCTCCCTTCCCTACTCAACCACTCCAGACACTATGAGATAAATGCTTGTTTTACTTATTTATTTATGAGGAGGATTGTTTGTTTTGTTTTGTCTTTTTGAGACAGGGTCTAGCTATGTGGTTCGGGCTGGCCTTGAACTCACTCTGTAGCCCAGCTGGCCTCCAGCTCTCTGAAGTCCTCCTGCCTCAGCGTTCTGAGTGCTGGGATTGCAAGCATGTGCTACCATGCCCAGCTAAATACTTGTTTTAACCTTTGGGGATGATTTACATACAAGAGAAAATGAATCCAGTTCTGGTTACGGTTTATATCTAAATGTCCCCCAAGGCTTCATGCTCAGGGGATGCTGACAGGGGTGTGGTACTCATCACTGGATTAGTTCACTGATGAATTTACAGATAGCCAGTGTGGGCAGTTGAAGCCTGGTTGGAGGAGCTGGGCCTCTGGGGGCATGGCCTGGTAGTGTCTCTTTCCCTCCTTCCCTAAACTCTGTTTCCTGCCAGCCGCATCTTGAGTGGACGCTTTCTCCCCTGCTGTACCCCTCTGCCACACCACCCTGTCTTGAAGTCAGCCCTATGGCTACAAACTGTGGGCCAAAATACACCTCTCCTTTAAACTGTGGGTGTAGGGTACTGTCTCCCAGTAACTAAGATAGTTCCCCAGTGTGTGTGGGGGGCATTCAACACCAGAAATTTCTTTTTATCTTCTTGGGTCTCACAGGGGATGCCAGCCCAGTTCCTGCCCCAGAGCCCTGGATTCCCCCCTAGGCTGGCATAGTGGTGGCAGTGCATTTTGACACTAATGTATTCTCTGTCACAGAAATGACAGCCTTAGTTTAGGACTCACCGAGTTTATACTGAGCAGCCCCAATCCCATCTAGTTATTTATAGTGGGCTCAGAACCACGGCAGAGGCTGCTGGCCTCCCCTGGGGCCTGGGGCTGCTGGTCAAGCCTTCTGTACCCTGATGCCAAGAAGAATGCACAGCACCGTCAGAGCCATGGCAGTCTGGAGGAGCCTAGAGACCTGCCTAGGTGGCGTTACCTACTCCTCTGGACCACATATGTGTGATCCATACTCAGCCAGGCCAGTGTCTCTGCTCTGCTCCCCGGGCAGTGCCTTCCTACCTGAGGGAAAGCCATGGCCCAGCCAGGCCATGGGTGAGCCTGCTGCTCCCCAAGCTGCTCCAGCATTTATAAAAGGCACAGAGGATTTGGTTCCTCCAGGATGGTCACAGGGTGTGTCCAGCCCTCCCAGGGGAGCAAGGGCCCTTGGATAGAGGCTACCTGTCCTCAAAGCCTAGTTCCTTAGGCTGGGTCCTTGGAGTCCCCATCTTGCTGGTGTCACAAACAGCCGTTAGAGCATGCTGGGGGAGAGCGCTTGTCAGGTTTCAGGAAGATGGCAGGGGATGGCCACATCAAGCTCTGAATACAGCGTCATGGCAC